GTATATGTATATGTATATGTATATGTATATGTATATGTATATGTATATGTATATGTATATGTATATGTATATGTATATGTATATGTATATGTATATATAAAATCCAGAAGTGTTTTATGGGCTATATAGCACACTTTCGAAGACCAGCATAACTTTGAATGGCTCACTAAAGGTTTGGTTCTAAGTCAAGAACTACCTGGTTCAATATGCATGCAGATATTTGTAAGTTTTCAGCTAATATGAATCTTGTTATATCTAAACATCTAGTTCCTTCACTGCAATTTGCAAGTGAAACAATCACATTTACAATCATATTACCACAGGATTCCTATTGACTCATACCACTGATGAGTACCAATTTACTACTGTCAGTTAGCAGTACCTCTCCGGGATTTTAGAAAGTGGGCAATCTGACATTTCAGTTTGGTTTCGTTTTGACTTCAAATAAGCAGCAGTCTCAATTAGCATGCCCAACAGACAGAGTTTCTTTAAAAAAATCCTTTTTCAACTCTTCCCTGCTACTGATATAAAGTTTGGAAATAGCTCATCACGCAATAAGATGAAGAGCCTCTATACCCAGGCTAACATTGAATTAAATGCTTACAGTTAATTCTATATAAATGGGTGGAGATGATGATTGACCTATTTCAGAAACATCTAAAACAAATAGTTTCTATTTTATCAAGAAAACAATTATAGTATGCTTTTGTACAATACTGTATATTAAAGAAATGTAAAACATATTTATTGATTTTTCTTATTTTATAATATGGGAAACATTCATCTTTGATGACTGATTATTCAGGAGCACTTATTTCTACACATCACACTATACGCAAACATTCTCTTTGGAATCTTGGCATTCTACACGCTGAAATTTGCTTCAGATGATGTGGCTATCCATATTAAAGTAACAAATAAGGGTGAACATGGCTAGAAGGTCTATGAAAGAATTTGTATTTCAGGGTTTTCAAAGGAAAAAACAAAAATAATATGAAGATATACTTGAACTTGTGCATGATGCCTTCACCACATTGGCATTTTGAACATTAGTGAAACTAAATGAAGAAGCTTGAAAACCTAACGTGATACTGTTTTTCAGAATGAAAGTAGATTTCTTCTAAACAAATTGAGGTATGTGAAAATGTGAAAAGAAATGTACAGTAGGCAAGCAGAGCATATTTAATGATGTCATGTGGCAAAGGGAAGAATGAATAAATACATAGTTTGTGGGTTTAAAATAAGGAGTTAAACCTACTGGAAATTCCGAACCAAAGTCTGTCTTAAAGTCATTCTTGTCTACATCATCAAAAATATTAGTGGTTCCTGAGTCAATATACATGTGTTCCATAAGACTATGTTCCTAATTGTCACCAAAGAGACAAAAACAAAAATGTGAGTCAGAATGTAGTGAAAACTCTTTGGACTGATAACAAATTATATGAATTCAAGCATAATAAAGATTACTGATTTCCGTATTTTTCCGAGTATAACACGCACCTTTTTCCCCTCAAAAAAGAGGCTGAAAAACTGGGTGCATTTTACACACTGAATACAGCATTTTTGGCCTCCTGAAACCCCGCCCCCTTTGCAAAAATGGCCATGCATAGACTTTAGGAGGCTTTCAGAGTGCTCCTGGAGGCTGGGAAGAGCAAAAATGAGTGAGACACAGGCCATTTTTTGTCATTTTTGCGCCCAGCCCCCAGGAACACTCTATAAGCCTCCTAAAAGCTATACATGCCATTTTTTGACAAAAAAAACCCCAGCCTGTTTTTGTGAAAAATGGGCCATATTTTAGAGGTGTGAAGAGTGCAAAAACTTTTTTTAAATTTTCCTCTTCAAAATCTTGGTGTGTCTTATACTTTGGTGTGTCTTATACTCTGAAAAATACGGTATATGCAAGAAGAGTGAATACTTTATAATAGCCAATGGACATTACAATCAAGATAGGTTATCTTTGGTATGTGCTTAACACAATACAATTAAGAAGCTTGAGGAGAGTTTACTCAGGAGATCAGCCTGTAAAACTGTTTACAATTGAATGAATGATCTCCCAGGAAATGAGTTTTTCTGCTGTGGGATCAGGTGCTTCAATGAAGAGGAAGAAAAAGTGTAGCAAACCAGTTTTGGCTGCTCTACAGGATTACAAATTTCTCTAAGGCACCGTAAATTACAATGTATTTAAAAGCTGGAAAGTAATTATTGTAGTTCCAAATAATAAGCAGTCTTAAATATATGTTTGTAAATTTCCTCTCACACAACTGTGCTTCTTATCCTTCTCCCAATCATATCCCATCTCTAAGATTTTTCTTAAGGCTGATTCTGGAGGGTTTCTGGTTTCCCCAGTGCTGTTTATGTTACCTGGTTGGGTAGTGAAACATCTGCAAGAAAAACACCAAGGACCCCACAGCAGTGGTGGGATACAAAAAAAATTACTGCTGGTTTTGTGGCCATGGCTTGGTAGGTGTGGAATGGTTTGTGGGCATAGCCTGGTTCGGTATGGCAGGGGAAGGATACTGTAAAATTTCCATTCCCTCCCTACTCAGGGGAAGGTTACTGCAAAATTCCCATTTCCTCCCAATAGCTGGGACTTGGGAGGCAGAGAATAGATGGGGGTGGGGCCAGTCAGAGGTGGTATTTACCAGTTCTGCAAACTACTCAATATTTCCACTAGTGGTTCTCCAGAACTGGTCAGAACCTGCTGAATACCACCTCTGCCCCACAGAAATTATTGGATTTTATCAAACACCTCAAAAAGAGAAGCAAAAGCCTCTATAGTGTGTGTGTGTATTGGGGGGGGAGTTTCCAAAAATTTGCTTGCAAATTCTAACTATATCTTCGCTCCTATATTGGTGTCCCCACACAGGAATAACAGACTTGCACTAACTATTGTGACCTTTCAAAATTGTGCTTCTCAGGATTTCTCAAGTTGCAGTTGCCTGGCATGCATTGGCACAAGGATTCTGTAACATTTATTATTGCTTCATTATTATTTTTAAATATTGTGCTTGCATTGTGACTTTTAAACTTTGTTCTATTTATTTTTATTACTGTAAAACACCAGGAAGTTGTATATTTTTGGAAATATTTGAATTAGAAAAGTTCATTGAAGTTTTTTTTTCAAAAGTAACTACTTCTACTGATATTGTTTTATCAATACCATAGGAAGCCAGACAATTACAATTGTAATTGTAATTCATTTGTAATAGGAACAATGTGATAATCTATGAAGAAATCTAATTTAAGAGTTTCATCCACTAGCAGCCATAGATACCCAAAGATTATGGCAAATCGCAAATTGTCCTGTAAATGTATTGTTTCAGATTTCTTCTAACATTACATATCAATTCAGAAATCAAATAATCCAATCTTACATACATACACTATTTATTAAATTTATATGCATCTCATCACCATGATAGGGCAGCAACGGACTCCTTACCTCAAGTTTCACATCATGTTCCTTAGAATAGTGCTCATCCATGTTTTCCCCAGTTGGTGAACGTGCTCTAGAAGCTGCAGCGACAGATAAGTCTCCACGTGATATTAAAGTGCACATGTAAGCGTCATGCGAAAAAACATCATGCCGTATGAATTCACCAAAAAGCAGCACTAGGTTTACAAATTCAGTTTTTTCATATTCACTGTTTGGATCAGCTGACAATAGATAAAAGAGTTGAATGTTATTAAATACCCAATAAATCCAAGCAGGTACAAAAGGTAATACAGTTGCTGGAAAAATGTTAAATGTATTTAATCCTAATTTGGAACAGATATAATTTGATACTTACGTAATGAGGGGGCTTGAGTATCTAAAAATCTAAGGAGAACGTTCTGGAAAATAGGCAGGCTAGATCCAGCAAATGATGCTGAAGAAATGGACTCCTTTTCATCCATGATTTCAACTTCCCCACATCTCTATAAAAGTATATAAAATAAAATAATAGACTTGTGGTATCGTAGCTATAAAAAAATCATTTCCCCTCTTTTTCCAGCAAAAGAACAGCTAAATTAAGGAGAAATGACTTCTCAATTCATTTGTAATAGGAACAATGTGATAATCTATGAAGAAATCTAATTTAAGAGTTACCTGAATTTTAGCTTAGTAAAACACAAGTATAAATTAAGAAACTGTATTCCAGCATCACTGTGTTGTTGTTTTTTTGCTAAAGAAATGAAAGGATATTCCTACATCGCTCTCACACACTAACACTATAAAAGATAACTTTGATTGATAGTTATTATCTGTTAACAACAATGTGAAGTCATAGCTACCAGTTCCTTAGCTGGGGTTGGTCTTCATACACATCAAGTTTTAGAATACCCAAGAAACTAGAATATTGTTATTTATTGGTCAAGTATATGTGTGGATCCAAGCAGTGTGGCCTTTTGCAATCCACATAAACAAATTTTTAACGATGTGCAGATTTTTTTATATCTGATGTGCTATTAGCCAAAACTTTATACTCTGTATGTAGCAATATTTTAATGTTTATTTTCAGCTATTTCTTCAGTTCTATGTTCCCACTCATTTTTCATTATGGGTACGTGATAGAGTTTGCATGTAACCCAATGAATCATTTTGGTGACAATGTTATGTTGTTGTTTATAATCAGTTTGTGTAATCTCTTTCCATAAGATGAATCTACTGTTTTCTGCGTTTCTTTGCACAATCTGCACTTGGAATCACTTGGAATCCGTTTCTTTGCACAATCTGCACTTGGAATCACTTGAAGTGCCCTTGATTGCACAGCTTGGTCTTCCACAGCCCAAATTCAGTTTCTTTTTTTTTTTTTAATGTTCGAGGCTGTGCTAGGTTTATCTGAAACTACTTTCCTCTTGATCCTTGGCAAAAATTAAACTATATAATGCTTTTCATTGACAGCATTCAGTTTTTGTTTTTATTACAATATTTTGAAATTCAATTTTTTGTTTCCTCTACATTTAGTAAGTTCACATTTTTAACTTCCATTAATTGTTGTTTTTGGCTGTCTTTTATATAATTAGCCAATGTCTATGAAAATTCTCATGACCATCCAGGTCGTGGTTGTCCAGTTTCAAAGGCAACTAGACTGTTGTTCCTTCAAAATGTTTCTCTTCATCTAAACAGGAGGTATGTGATGTCGTATTCCCTCCCCCTCTGTTAAGAGAGGGCTGTTCACTCTTAATGTAGATGGCCTTTTTGACCCCTCTTTCAAGCTAAAAGAGGTTTGAACCAAAAGAAATTTGAAACAGCCCTCTCTCAACAGAAAGGTAGGGATACGACACCACATACCTCCTGTTTACAACACAGTCCTTTCAGCAGTTCCAAGAAGGTTCCATACTCATTTGCACTATTTAGATGAACTTGAAAGCCTAGATCAGAGATGGGTTCCTACTGGTTCGGGCGAACCGATAGTGGTTTGCCAGCCTAGATTGCGGAAACCAGCAGCAACCCAGGCCTGCCATGCCTCCGAACTGGTTCCCCAGTCGGGGCAGCATGTTTTTTTTTCATTTTTTAATGTTATGTGCATGCACAGACCTATTTATGGGCAACTGTGCATGCACACGGAGTGCAAAATTGCACGCACACCGAACTGGCAGTAATGCTGCCAGCAACCCAACCCTGGCACAGATGAATTTCCAAGTAGCCTCAACAACTCTCAGAATTAGTGCTAATGACCAGATGACTGCGAAGAATATAAATCCTTCCATCCTCCATCATTCAATCAGAACTGAAGAACCGTCTTAGATGAGAAGTGAAACATCTTCTAGGAAAAACAAAGCCCAGTTTCTTTTGAAAAAGCACCTTTGGAAAAGCCAGCGCATGCTTTTCTTTTTAATTTTGTTTCACCAGAAGTAAATCTCTGCTTTCATTTCTGGAGGCAGGTATAATCTATTAATATCACTACAGGGATGTAATATATAGTGAATAGGCAACAGTTTTCTAGTTTTTCAGTCTACACTGTCCAGTTAATAATTCCAGCAATGTACGATGACGCAAGAATGGCTCAGCCATTTATAGCATTGATGGTATTATTATGGTTTGTAGCACAGTCAGACATGTTTAGACTGGATTTGGCATTTTTATCCACTGACTTGAGTCTTTCTATTGAACTATTAAGACCTAAGAGCATCTCAGCACATAGGCAGTTCCAAGTAGGATAGTGTTTTTTTTTTGCAAAGTCATAATATTGAGGTCTAATAAATTCTAATTTTCCATGTCTCTAGGCAGCTCTTTGGTATTGCTCCAAATGTACAACCATTGATTTATTCCTCAAAAGTCACTCAACTTCAATTATAATTTTATAAATCTTATAAATTTGTTAATTTTATTTTCTATTGTGGACATTTTAAAATATGAAAACTATTGCTGCTTATGCTTTCATTTGCTGTAAACCAGGGATCAGTTGATTGCAGAAGGTATACATTCAACAAATAAATAAATAAATAAATAAATAAATAAATAAATAAATAAATACACTCTTCAACACTGGAACATCTTTTATAACCTTTCTGTAAATAGCGACTAATGAGACTAATGAGATTCTAGGTTGCATACAAATATTATATACATTGAATAAAACAATTAATGCAAGCCTTCATGAATTAAAAATATTACTATGGTGGTTCCTGAGTTACATGAATAAAAAGGAGCTATTGAATCTATTCACTATATTTAAATATCTTCTTTTACATGATGTGGTAAAAGAGAATATCTAACCATAGCCTGAAAAATTATTTCAGCCATTTTAAAGTTGCAGTTTAATATTTTTCTTTAAGTTATACAATTTTGATTATGTGTCATAATACGTTGATAGGAAGTCAATGTGTAAATGTTTTTTCATTGTTTTGTCCAAAAATGTGAGACACATGCTAAAGCTCCTTTAGAATTATTCTAAAGTTTCTCTGTAGAGAGATTTGCATTGGAGATCAGGAACATCATGCTTGATTTCTAAAAGTTGAACCAAATTTTCCTTTACAAATGAAGACTAGCAGATGACTTACTTCTGCCTCAATTTCAGTTTGCCTCTTCTCCAATAGTTTAGCTACAGCCATTGCCCGGTGCTTACCAGATCTTTTACTACTCACAGCCCATTCACAAAGCAATGTTACAACAGCTTCATCGTTAGAGGCAACCTATTAAATCACAAATCAAATGTGTTATTCATTTAAGTGTTAGAACATTTTAAAGAATATTACATAAGAATATTTTATTAGAGTTTTACACTTTTATTTAGACTTATAAATCATGTTTTATTTGGGTTTCTTTGATTTGTTGACCTTCTTATTCTTGACTAATCACAGCCTTGAAGATAGCTTGCCCAGAGAAGTGAGACAAAATGTGCATTTCAAGAACAGCTTCTTAATTAAATGCATTCTCAGAAAATGTAAGTTTCTCTGGAAAGAAAGGAAGGAAGGAGGGAGGGAGGGAGGGAGGGAGGGAGGGAGGAAGGAAGGAAGATATGCTATGGGAAGAGAGGGAGGATTGATTAGATGGCTGGTAAGAGGATGGTGGTA